AGAAGACAGAGAGAGGACCTAGCAAGTGCCACCTTTGGGGTATGACAGCCATTGAAATCGTGAGCTCACAGCAGCCGCCTGGGCCTCGGCAAGGCTGGCGCTGTCAGCAGTCAGGTGTAGATGGGGAGAGAGTGGGCCCTAGGCCTCCCTGTTGAACAGATTCCATGGGGGGGGGGGGCGGTCAGTATCTTCTGCTGCATGCCCACTGAGAGCCCACTGGTCTCCAATGGATAATCTCAAACCCGTGTTCACAGCGAGGGCCCTGGTCACACTCAGTGGGTGACAAAGTAAAAGCTAAAAATATGAGACAGGGATTTGTAGAGAGGAGGAGGAGAGGTGAACAGGGTGGGATAGAGGTAAAAGGGGACCTAGCATAATCAGAATGCATTATATAAATGTATGGAACTGCCGAAGAAGACATTTAATTAGTAATATACATAATAAACTACTATAATTGAAACAGTATGGAAAAAATATAAAATATATATTCACTTTGGAAGAGAACAGTGTCCTGAAACGGGCCACTACATTGAGGAACTTCTTAAAAAGTGGCCAGAGGTGATGGCACACACTTTTAATTCCAGCACAGCACTCTGGAGGCAGAGGCAGGTGGATCTCGTGAGTGTTTGAGGCCAACCTGATATACAATGTGAATTATAAGCTAGCTAGGGCTGCATAGTGAGACCCTGTCTCAAAACAAACAAACAAAATGGCTCATTTTAAAAACTGGGGGCTGCAGCTCAGTTGGTAGAGTGTTTGCTTTGCATGCATGAGACCTGAGTTCAATCTTCAGCACTGGGGGAAAAAAATACTGCGTTGACTGACGACATTTATAATATCATAGTTAACAGCTACCTCACAGCACTAAACAAAGACAATGTGTTTATCCAAACCACGGCAATTTGGGGCTGGAGAGATGTCTCAGTGGTTAAGAACACTGGCTGCTATTCCAGAGGATGCTGGTTCAATTCCCAGCACCACATGGCAGCTCACAACTGTAACTCTAGTTCCAGATCTGGCAACCTCTTCTGGCTACTACAGATATCAGGTATGTAGGGGATACACAAACACACATGCAAGAAAACACCTATACACATCAAATAAATAAATTAGTCTACAGCTCTTGTGAGGAGCATTGTTAGCCTAATTAGCTTAACTGTGTGTGTGTGTGTGTATATGTGTATACGTGTACACTTATATGTATTATTTTAGGTAGATATATAAAATAGTGTGATTCCTTGTGGCTTTATGAGGCCCCTCCCACCAACAGTGACAGCCTTGGTGTTTCTTGTTCCTCGTCTCTCCTTCTGTATTGACCTTCCTCTCTCCCCTCCAGTTGGAGCTCCCTCACCATTTTTCCATTTCCATTTCATAACGTCTGTGTACTGCTAGTCCCCTCTCAGGCCCAACTCCTCCCCAGCTCCCCCCAGACTCCCACCTCAACCCACCCCCAATGGTCCCTTTATATTTTTTCCTGGTTTCTGTGGTTACTCCATGTATACTCACATCTGAGGATCCGAAGCTAGGAACTACAGGCAAGCAAGAACATGCCACCTTTGTCTTTCTGGGTCTGGGCTACCTCACTCGGTATAATCCTTTCTAGTTCCATCCACTTACCTGCAGATTTCATGATTTCATTTTTCTTTAGCTGAATAGCATTCCATAGTATGCGTGCAGCACATTTCCATTATCCATTCATCTGCTGAAGGACATTTAGGTTGTTTCCATTTCTTGGCTATTGTGAATAGAGCAGCTATGACCATGGCTGAGGAAGTAGCTGTGGAGTAGGATGTCGAGTCCTTGGACATATGCCAAGGAGTAGTATAGCTGGGTAGACTTATTTCTGAGTACTCTCCATATTGATTGAGCAACTGCACCAATTTGCAACCTCACCAACAGTGAATGAGGTCCCCTCCCACCAACAGTGAATGAGGTCCTCTCCCACCAACAGTGAATGAGGTCCCCTCCCACCAACAGTGAATGAGGTCCCCTCCCACCAACAGTGAATGAGGTCCCCTCCCATCAACAGTGAATGAGGTTCCCTCCCACCAACAGTGAATGAGGTCCCTTCCCCAAGGTCTCACTAGCATTGGTTGTCAGCTGTTCTGTTGATCTTGGCCACTCTGACTGGGATGAGATAAAATCTCAAAATGAGGTCCTGCCCTCCATTCAGATGGCTCAGTAGCTGAGATTCATCCCTGAGATCCAAGGAGAGAACTGACTCCAGCAAGTTGCCTTCTGGCTCCCGCATGAACTTCCTACCCCCCCCAACACACACACACACACACACACACACACACACACACACACACACACACACAATTTTAAAAATTAAGATGGGTTTTCCTACATCAATGAATCAAGTTAATCCACACAGGCATGCCCAGAAGCCCATCTCCCAGGTCATTCTATATTCTATCAAGCAGACACCAACCCTCACATGCATCTACTATAGAAATCTAAGTGGATGTGCCTCAAAAAAAAAAAAAAAAAACCTAAAAATAGAACTAATGGCATGTGATGAGCCACACCACTCCTGTGTGTATACCTGAAGAATATAAGTCAACATACCACAGAAACAGTTACATAGCCATGTCTACAACTGTATATTCATAATAACTAAGACATGGAACGGGGGCAGATATCCAGCAACAGATGAACAGGGAAAGAAAATGTGACCCAGACACACAAGGACATTTTAATCAGCTGTGTGGTGAAATTTAAAAGGAGACCAAAAGAGGCTTTGGAACAGGAGAAAGGAAAAGAGAACAAGAGAATATAGTGTGACCTCACAGTGCATGGGACTATTTGTGGGGAGGAAGGGGAAGCAAGAGGTGGGCAGATGGGAAGGGAGAGCAACTGGGTAAAGGATGGATAAGATACAGTATAGTGGGGCCGGAGAAATGGCTCAGCGTTTAAGAGCATGGGCTGTTCTCCAGAGGACCTGGGTTCAATTCCAGCACTCACCTGGCAGCTCACATCATCTGCAACTCCAGACCCAGGGGCTCTGATGCCCCGTTCTGGCCTCTGCAGGCGCCAGTCACACAGGTGGTGCACAGACACACATGCAAAACCCAAAATTTAAAAACTAAAAAGTAGAGTGATGCATGTATGAAAATACCATAATGAAACTCATTTCTCCGCATGCTAACTTCAGATTTTAACTTTAAAAAAGATGAGGTACTGGGAGACCGCATAGGCACCTAAGAGAGGCAAAGCACACCCTGACACATGGGGGGAGGGGGGCGGATAATCAACAGCTCAGTAGAGAGACTAGGCAACTCAGAAGAATTCCAAACACCAGAGCCATTAATACACAGGCAACAACAACGTACAACACACATGTCCACTTGTCATTTGGTCCACACTGATGAGAGTATAGTCAGTACCGTATTTCTGGACGACAGCTGAACGTAGCTACCAAAATCCAAATGTGCAAACCCTAAGCCGGAAGTTCCCACCTCTGACACAAGGATGCTCCCTTAGCACTGTCTGTAATCATAGTACGAATGTATAAAATAAAATAACTCCATGCCTGTCAACATGGAAAAGCACAAATAAACGATCAGTGTTCATCTCCTTAGGAATGCAGTTGCCCTGTATGTGCTAAGATAGAAAGTTCTTCGAAGATTATAGTAAGCAGAAAGGGCAAACTGCAGAAGTGTGGATATGCAGGGGACCACTTGTGTTAATTCACACATGAAGCCCAAGTTATGCAAAAAGCAAATTAAAAAAAAAAAAAACTGCCAAGAAGAAGGTACACTCTCATGCTTGGCCAGGGGACAGGTGGCCATGCAGCAGGACTTCTGAAGTTGAAGCCTCCCTTTAATTAACAGAGTATGTTCATGTATTAGTGACGCAATTTGTATATATCCAAGTGAAAGCAGAAAGGGTCAGATCTGGTTTGGAGCAAAGAATAGGTGTCTACTTTAAAGTTTGGGGAGTGGATGAAGCCCTGAACGTGTGTTGTTAACATCAGCACAGCCATGTCCAAGACTCTAATGCCTTGGGAATGGGTCTTCCCCAGGCCCAGTTCAGGGGACCGGCAAGGTCTTCCTCAGGTCCAAACACGGATGCTGGTAGTGTGAAAATATGAGTATCTTTCTTCAAGATGGCCACAGCCTGAGACTGCTCCTCTCCCAAGATTAGCTCCCCGACCACCTCTAAAGTGTGATCCTAATTAGTCTCATTGATAAAAACCAGGAGTCAGATATCGGGGTAAAAGCTGAAAGATCAGAGAAGCAGAGCAGCCAGCCACTAGAAGCTTGTTACCTCTGTGAATCCTCTGACCAAAAAGGGTCCAGCCCTGTCTCTGCCTCGCTTTATCACTTCCTCTCTCCGCCCAGCCTTGTCACTTCCTGTCTTCTGTCTGCAGACCTCCAGACCTCTCTGGTTAACTAGTGGCTAGCTCCACCCTCTGATCTCCGGGCGAGCTTTATTTGTCAGAACACGGTGAGGGTGCCTCCTCCTCATCCTGCTGCAAAATAATGCACTGAATTTGCAGGGCAGGCTGCTCGTGTGTTTCCATCTGAGCACGCGGCCCACTGATCCGAGCTTTATGTTACCTGTACCTGTCATTTCTTCACTCCCTGTCACCTCAGTCATGTCAAGTCCAAAGCCGAGCAGGTTGTTACATCAAAGCACCTCCCAGGCCTTGGTGATGCTTAACATGGACTCAGGGGCTGTGTTCCCAGATCATAAAATCTCCACAACACAAGTGAATGGAAGTGTTCTGCCTGTTCTCGGTAGCTACTTTGTCCTGGGCCTTAAGAATTGGTCACTTTGTCTTTCTCCAAAGACATGTTTCCTTAACATCAATGTGTGCGTGTGTGCGTGTGTGTGTGTGTGTGTGTGTGTGTTGTATGTGTGTGTGTGTGTGTGTGTGTGTGTGAGAGAGAGAGAGAGAGAGAGAGAGAGAGAGAGAGAGAGAGAGAGAGAGAGGGAGAGAGAGGGAGAGGGAGAGAGAGAGAGAGATCCATTTTATATCTTTGCTTGCTGCTTGTTTGTGTGTGAGTGTGTGTGTGATTTAATGTGTTTTGAGGCAGGGTCTCACTGTGTAGCCCAGCCGGTCTTGAACTCATGATCCTTTTGCTTCAGCCACCACACCCAGCCTGATGTTTACTTCCTAACTCTAGGACGTTGGTGTCCAGGTCTTTTGTGTACAGGAGTGTGGAGCAGGCTTGTGAGGAGTCAGCGCTGTCTCCTGACTCTTCCCAACCCCTCAGGAGGGCCAGATGCTGTGCTTTTCTATCTCACTGGGATCAGGAAGGGTCAGCAGAGCACTCCCAAGACATCTTAGTAGTCTTGCTTCTTCGCTGTCCTTCTGTGGTTTGCTGAGGGAAATGCTGAGGTCCTTAGGTCAAGGACAAGTCCATCAAATGGCATCCCTTCAGGATTGTAACCTGTGAAGATCCACATGTTCTTTCCTGAAACAGGAGTGTGAAACGTTCAGTCAGACCCAATGCCCCATGCGTGGGGAACCAAGAGGAGATTTCCTGTCACTCCATTGTGTGACGAAGGTAGTTCCACCCAGTTCCACAGAGGCTAAACCAAGTTGGTTCCCCAGGGATAGAGAGTCAAGAATAGCAGAAGCAGGGTTTGAACTTAAGACCTGTGGCTCTGAGTCTAGTGCTCATTCTACTTCCACCCTGTGATATGTGCAAAATGTTTGCCAACCCCGATGACGTCCTGAGGGCCCAACATGCCTCCTCCTGTTTACAGAGTCAGGAAGTGATGCTCCTGGGGCCATGGAATAAATGCCAAGCTGTGCTACGGGGACTGCTTGGTACTGTTGCAGCCCCCTCTTGCTGATGATCTTGTACCAGACCTTCCCCTACTCCAGCTGAGGCCACCCCACCTTCTTGATGTACTCAGCGTCTCTGAGAGGCCCCAGAGCCACGGCTCTCCGATATCCCCAGAGAAAGCAACAATGTGATGCTTACTCTCCCTGCCTGTGGGCTTGAGGGCCTAGGTGCCATGTCTGGGTTGAGGATGGGCCTTGTCCTACCTGAGTGTCCTGATTTGGTGTCTAGGGAAAAGCTGAAATTCATTCATTCACTAAAGCAGGTGGGGAAGTCCTCAGTCCCCTGGGTCCAGGAAGCACTGTGAAGAAAGCCTGTGGCCTTGAGAAGCTGATTCTGTCTCCTTCATTCGAGCAGCCGGGCTACCTTCTGAGAGCCCTGAATCATGGAGGAAAAATGAGAATATGGGGAACAGGTCCTGCCACCAACAGTGAACCCACTCTATCCCTAAGCAAGCTCATGGGGGCTAGAGGCAGGCTTTCCATAGTGGCTGCTGGGGGACAAAAGCAGCCCACCAGAGACACTGTGGTCACACCTCCCTCTCCTTTGGTCACCTCTCCTGTAGGTACCTGCCCTCCAGACCAGTCTCACCATCTCTTCCAGCTGTTTCCCTGAGCAGTCAGTGTCCCTTTGCCCAACCTGCGATTACTGTGAAATCCCAGACCACTCTGGTTCTCACCATGCTGGAGTGGATGGTTGCTCACCGGGTCCCTGATCTGTGTCTACGCCTACATAATGGAGTGGTTTTTAATCCGAGAATGGCCTGCTGTGGACTGCACAGTTGGCTCTGGGTTCCTCTGGCAGCCCCTCCCATCGGAATCTACATTGTACCCGTGACAGATGACGATGATAAGGTTGCTTTGGTCAAGGAGACACAAGTAGAGGTGGCCTCTTCCTCCTCTGAGCACAATGTAGAGACAGTGTGGTTACCGGCTGTTCTCCTCCCTTTCCCACACGCCCTGCTGGCCCCGGGTGTGGCCTGCATCTTTACCCTGAGTCTTTGATACTGCAGCCTTGTGCAGAGCTGAGACTGCTACAGGAAACAGTGGGTGTGGCAGGAATGATTCCTACAGGTCATACGCCGCTGAGGCACGAGGCATTGGTTCCCTCAGCACGCCCTGGCTGAACTGTGTGAGTACAAGGCTCCAGGCACGATGAGACGTGTGCTGTGCTCCCATAAAAGCAACTAGAAAGAACAAGCCCTAAGGTGTGGAGGCAGGGGGATAAGACCTTTGGGAGTGTGAGGGAAAAGGCAGTGATCTGAGAATGATGTAGTGGAGGGTGGCCAGGAAAGGTTGCTGGGATGTCGGGTGGGGTGGCTCAGACCCTACCAACTCCATCACCCTCCAGCAGGAGGAAGTTAGCCAGCACATCTGGAGACCTACAGAGACTAACCGCTGGAGGTGACCGTCTTGGTTGTTTCAGCAAGTCCAGTTGCCTCCTCTTCTGGATGAGACATTCGGCTGCTTCTTTAGGAAGGTGGAAGCTGCGGGTTCTATTTGGATGTGGAGTGGGAGCAACACCCGATATCCAGTCAGAGGCTGAGGCTGGGCACAGTGATCAGGGATGGGTGTAACAGGTGGGGGCAAGGCAGAGCCACTTAGAGAAGATTTGTGTCCCCTGCCTCAGGCTCTTTCACAGGAGGCCAGGCAACTAGGCAGGTGGAGAGAGCCAGGCTGTGCTTGGTGTTTTGTAAAAGGGCTAGCTGACCTTGATCTGGAGGAGAGAGGGACCTCTCACGCAGGGACCATCAGGGCTGGGTCAGCAGCAGAATCCTGAATTCTGTTTAGCATTGAAAATAGTGACTCCAAGAAGGGACACTTCCCTTGAAGACACGGGGTAACCCCATGGGAGACATTTATCTCAGCAGATGTGAAGCCCAGCCACAGAGATCTGAATGGAAGGAAGTCAGACTAGCTCCTTGTTAATTTCATGGTTGACTTAACCCTGCGATTGTGCACTCAGAGGCCCCTTTTTTTGGGGGGGGCGGGGGGCTTCTTTCCCCAGCCAGCCCTCTATCTTTATTCCAAAAGGTTCAACCTCTTACCAGTACATCCAAAGAGTCACAGGCCCTCTCCTTTATGAGAACATGTTTATTTTTGTTGTCATGGGAAACGCACTATAGAGAAAATAGTAACGAAGGAGAAAATAATGACGAAGCAGCAGCCACTGGGGGCCAGGCTGGGCAGTGTGCACATTTTGTGGATTGTCCTATGAATTCTCCCAAGAGCTGATGAGGTGGCACAGCTATCTGGAATGTGAGGTTCATGGGCACAGTCAGGCATCTGGAGCAAGGCCTGGCACACAGTAGGTAATCGGGAAATAACTTGTAAAGGACTATCTGTATCACTTACATTGCATTTATTTTTTAAGAGGCAGGGCTATCTGGCTGATGAGCTGGCTCACCAGGAAAAGGCACTTGCCACCAAGCCCAATGACCCAAGTTCAGTCCCCAGGACCCACTGAGGCCAATGAGATTAGGAGCTAAGTCATTCAGCTCATAGGTGACCTAGTAGGAGGGGGAGATCTCTCAGACACACACGTTCTGAACCCTATAGAATACACTAAGTCACTTAAGCCACTAAAGGGCTGGAGAGATGCTCAGCCAGCGAGAGTATTTGTTGCTCTTGCAGAGGACCAAGGTTCAACTTCCGTTACTCACATGGTATCTCACAACCTCCATGGACAGCAAGCATGCATGCAATGTACATACACACATGTAGGCAAAACACTCACACAAAATCCAATGAATAACCCTAATAAAAAAGCTCTAAGAGAAAAAGATAGCCAACTGAGCAGGAGTGCCTGACACTGAAAATGCCTATACTGTCTCTTAGTGCCTTTGAACACACTAACTGTCCCTGAGGGACGCCTGTGTGCATTCCACTCATCTGGTCCACCTTTGTCAGCATGAAATTTGCTGAAGATTTACAAAAAGAAGTAGGTCTGGGGTGGTAGCAAGACATGAGGCCCACCCACCTCCCATTCCCCAAGGCAGGAAGAAAGTGTTTCTGACTGCCTGGAATGTTAGCTCCAGGATAGCTGATGCCTCTGGCCTCCAGTGACACCTGCAGTCACATGCACACACCCACACAGAGACACATAAGTCAAAAATACTCCAAATACACCTTGAAAATGTCAGCTTAGCCCAGGGGACGCACCAGTCTCCCTCTAGTAACCCAGGCCACTCATCTCCTACAGCCCAGGCAGTTGACATGCCCCTTCTCTCTACAGGCCCTTGCAGTTCCAAAACCCGACTCCCGAGCATAAGCCCAGCCCGTGCTGGGAACCAAATCCCTACAGGGAGTACTGCACACCTGCTTGCTGCCCAGCAACTCGCTGTGGACCGTGAGTATGGACAGAGCTCCACTGCACACTGAGACGGGGCTTTGGGATGCTGGTCATATGCAGCAAGGCGCAAGCAACACTTTACATGGATATCCAGCTGTTTCAGCATCACCGACTGAAAAGCCTTCCTTCCTGGGATGCCTTGTACTTACGTTCAAATCAACTGATTGTGTAAGTAGGGCCTGTTTCTAGGTTTCCACTCCTTTTCAGTAACTGATTTGTGCGCTCTTAGGTAGAGGCACGGCAGGGTTCCTGCCGCTCTAACACATGTCTTGTTGTTACACTGGGGGGTCATAGTGGGTACGGGCACAAGCATGCCATGGCACACATGGCACAGGGTCAGAGGTCAACTGTCAGGAGTCAGTTCTTTCCTTCCACCTTGTTTCTGAGGCAGCTCTCTTGTTGTTTCTACCACAGCTACATCCCTCAGGCTCCCTGACACACATCACACACGTGCACACCCATGTTGCAAGATATTGTTGACTACGCTGTGTAAGGATATGTCACTGTGATTGGTTTAATAAAAAGCTAAATGGCCAATAGCTAGGCAGGGGGTATAGGTGGGACTTCCGGAGAGAGAGAGCTCTGGGAAGAAGAAGGCGGAGTTGCCAGCCAGATGTGGAGGAAGCAGCATGGGCAGTGCAGAGAGATGAGGTAATGAGCCAGGAGACAGAACATAGATTAGTATAAATGGGTTGATTTAAGTTATAAGAGCTAGTGGGACAAGACTAAGCTGAGGTGAGCTTTCATTGTGGTGATATTTTATTTGTACTGAAATGTTATTTTAATTTTATGTTAATAAATAAAGTTGCCCTGGGG